AACCAAATTAGATACTTTAGTTCGCCATTTCCATAAGGAAAATGTGAATTTATATTTATTTACGCAAATGGGAACGGCGAAAAAATGCTTAACTATTCAGTCTATAATGAAGCATTTTTTCGCGGTTCCCATATGCGTAAATAAATATAAATTCACATTTTCTTTATGGAAATGGTGAAATAAAGTATCGAATTTGGTTAGTAAACTTTCAATAACTAAAAAAATGAGAAATCCACTGAGTTTCAGTCAAAAACAAAATGTGCCTTTTTTCATGGTGATGTCATTGCGACCTTGGTACGGTCTGCGCACGCGCAGCGAGCAACAGAGTTCACGTCGCGAAAAATTAAACTGTTTGACTATATCAACCGCACGGACGATGAAGAAGTTTTTACCCTTTCTCTTGTAATTTCAAGGAGGAAAGGGAAAAATTTACCCTTCCACATGTCGAAGGTCCAATCGCTGACATTTAACTTCTTCATCATCCGTGCGGTTGATATACTCAAACAGTTTATTTTTCGCGACGCGTCAAAAATGCTCTTTTACAGGTCATTTTAATTAGTTATTTTACTAATTGCTTTTTATTGCTCATAGCTAAACATGATATTTTTGGACATTTTGAAACTCTAATTTTCCATTTTTGTAGAGAAAGTGTATAATTGTTATTTTTTGTGGGAGAATTGGCTGTCGAAAAATTGCGATTTTAGTGCTGGTATAGTAACCTTTTGGTTTGTTTACATTTCACAACTTGGACATAGCCTTAATGTTAAATATTCTTTTTTTAAAACAAAAACATTAATTTTTTTAAAATAAACTGAATGCTTATTTCAGCTTTATCCAAAGAAGATTAAAACATGTAAAGTATTTCCGAAATTATATTAATTTTGTTAAAATAAGGCAAACTCAAGAATTTTTTAAATGATTTTAGAAAGTTAATTAAATTTCTTTTTCAGTTTAATTTTTTAAAAATTATATTGTGTTTTAGTGGCTTAGACGGGATAAATTTCAACATTATTTGATTTTAATGAAACTTGGTATCTAGGGATTTTTGAGGTCGCTGATTAAGAATCTGAAGCCAGATTAATAAAATCCAAAATCGCGGATCCAATATGGCGGATGAGTTTTTCAAAAATTCATCCGAATTTCTTGAAAATTTATAAACGGGGTTTTTTGAGGTCGATGATTACGAATCTAAGGTCAGATTTAAAAAATCCAAAATGGCGGATCCAATATGGCGGATGAGTCTTTTAAAAATTTATCCAAATTTCTTGAAAATTAATAATCAGGGGTTTTTGAGGTCGCTGATTACGAATCTAAGGTCATATTTAAAAAATCAAAAATGGCGGATCCAATATGTCGGGTGAGTTTTTCAAAAATTTATCCAAATTTCTTGAAAATTTATAATCGGGGTTTGTTGACGAGTGAGAGCACATAATTTTATTTGCTCAATTTATTTGTTCATGTTTAATGTTATTTTTCTGTGTTTCAGTTTAATGTTAATTATTTGTATTCTCGATTTGTTCCATTAGTAAGTTCCTTTAGTTTGACCTTCACATTTTCACGTTCGATTGTTATATTGTGACCCGTTGAAAGAGGGAGGGGCCTTTGAGCTCTAAGCATTGTATAGAGCGGCGCCTTCCTGCCGGGAGGGATCGGTGAGGCCGCCAAGCCCCCTCCACTTTCCTTGCCCTTCAGTCTGTACCTTTCGATAAAAGGATAAGTTGTGTGCTGCTTCAGCTGAGTGATAAAGATAGGGGTGACGACAGAAAGTGTCATAAGGAAAACCCCAGGATAACCACAGTACAGTCGTAGTATTATAGCATTTTCCAGCGATGTAAATGAGGATGACGACAGCTATTGTCCTTGGAAGATCCTCATACAATTCACATGTAATGTGGTGAGTAAGAAATAAATAAAAATTCAATTAAGAAGTTCATATATTGTGTCTTTTCTCTTTTAATCCTTGCCCCCGAAATTGATCGGCCATTGCGGTCGTCAACAATTTGGTGGAGGCGCCGGGTATCAGACATTGGTAGCTAAGCGAGTGCGATTTTCTTTATCCGCTATGGGGTGGTGTTAGAAAGGAGCTGTACGTTAATGCAAGCCAGTTCGGTTATCGCGCTCTCTTCGTGCAGACAAAGTGAATAGTGGTTATAAATAATTGTGATAGTTAAGTAATAGTATTGTGTTTAACAATTTATAGTTATAGTGAATAGTGTTATTCAAAACAATTACGCTGTAAAGCAGTGTGTAAAAAAAAAATTGTTAATTTTGCGTGTAAGTGAATATATAGTTTCCAAAATGTCGCAAGAAACTAGATCTACAAGTGACACGGTACGCATGAGCCCTAGCCAATCTAATAGTGAACGTATCGCGCCGACGGAATCAAATAGAGCTGGGAGCTCACGGACACATAGTACAGCAACTATGAAAAGGAAGAGAGAATTGGAAATTGACGCCGCAAGAACAAGATTTGCAGTTCAATCGCGCATGATTGAAGAAAAGGCCAAACTGGAAATGGAGATGATAGAGGCTGAACTGACCATGAGATTAGACGAAAATGAAGACCGACAAAATAGTAGTGATTATGGTTCTGCAGCATCAAGAAGTAAAGTGAGAGAGTGGTTAGAAAAATCACCCGGAGTTGTCTCTCTCGAATCTCCACCTAGTACATCAAGGATAGAAACATCTCAGCAAGACATCAGCAACGAGCTACGAAAATTGACAAAACAATTAACACATACTATAACGGAGAATCGCCATGGACCTTCATATGAAACTATGACTCAAGGGATAATAAAACGTATGTCACTAAAAAGTACCTTGCCGATATTCGATGGTGACGTGTTAGAATGGCCGGGATTCAAGAGAGCATTTCAAGAGAGTTCAGTAAGAATGGGCTATAACGATCAAGAGAACATGGTTCGATTGAATGAGTCCTTAAAGGGACAAGCCAAAGAAGCGGTTGCTTCATTAATGTTGACTAGCGATGATACCACACGTGTCATGGAATTGCTTCAATTAAGATTTGGAAACCCTAGCGCAATTGCAGACCGCATAGTAAAAAATTTAAAGGGATTACCATCAGTACGCAGTATTGGAAAGGATTTGATAGAATTTGCCACCATTGTTAGAAATTGTGTCGCAGCCCTTGAAGCAGCGAACCACGTGGGATATTTACATAGCCCGGAACTTGTCAAGGAAATCACCAAAAAAATGTCGAACACTCTGATTCATAATTATACACGATACGCAAACGAAAAGAATCCACAAAACGAACCAGCGTTAGTAAATTTATCAAACTTTCTATTTTACGAGGCTGAATTGGCTTGTAAAGCAGGAATCGTTGAAAGTACATCATCCAAGGATCGACACAGAAATCGAGAACGCAGTCAAGAAAAGGAAAGAAGCCACAAACGAACAAGGCGCGAAAGATATTCAAGCAATGAGAGGGTCCACGTCACACGAGAGACAAAGGACACCAGGGGAAAAAGTATGTGTGGTTACTGTAATTCAACTTCGCACCCCGTAACAAATTGTGAACATTTCAAGTCTTTGTCCAGTTCAGAAAGATGGAATTGGGCTAGTAAAAACAGAGTTTGCTTCCGATGCCTGACGGGAAAGGACCATCGACAGAACAGATGTCGTGAGGCAAGTTGCAACGTAAAAGAGTGCAAGGGGATGCACCATTATTTATTACATCGAACTCGAGAAGAAGTAGAAGATTATCGAATCAGAAGACTACGAGAGAAGGCAATAAACTCGACAGGTCGGGAACAAAAGGAAGATTGACTAGAAGAAGGCAAGTGTGTTCTCTTGAAGATTAAAGAAGTGTGGCTGCATGGCCCCATAGCAACAAAACGCATTTTTGTTCTCATGGACGAAGGATCCACTGTAACGATTCTTGACTCTCAAGTAGCCAAAAGTATTGGTATTAACGGAAGAATAAAACCCTTGAATTTAACGTGTGTGGACGGAATTGGAGCGAGGGACATAAACAGCCAGAAAGTAACGTTTGGAATCAGTGCAATAGATGGAACTATAAGACATACGATATCAAATGCTCGAACTTTAGGTGAACTAAAACTACCTCGACAATCACTGAAGAAGGAAACATTGCAGCGCTTTTCATACCTATCTCATATTCCTATCGAAGCCTATGAAAATGCCGTTCCCATCTTGCTGATAGGACAAGATCACTGGGATCTAATTACTCCAATACGAATAGTAACCACAATACGAGAATTATCAGCAGCATCACTCACAAAACTAGGATGGGTTGTTCATGGCCAAGTCCCAGAATATACAGCCTCAATACATCCTAGAGACTACACACTTATCACCAGCGAGCAAGAAAAAATAGATTCGGATGATGACCTTCACCACCTTGTTAAGCTTCATTTCACCCTAGAAAGTATAGGTGTCTCGAAGATCGCCCGTCGAAATAAACTTGATAACAGAGCCGAAGAAATATTAAAAAGGACTACAAAACGCGTTGAATCTGGGTGGATAACAGGATTACTTTGGAGAAATGACGATACGAAGATGCCCTCCAATCGAGCAACAGCCGTGAATCGATTAATGAAATTGGAACGGAAAATGGATCGAGACCCAATTTATAAAGAAAAATATTCTTCTCAAATGGACCATCTCATCAAAATGGGATATGCCAAAAAGGTCGTTGCGCCAGAAACTCATAGTGACCGTGAATGGTACCTACCTCATTTTGGAACAGTCAATGTAAACAAGCCAAACAAAATAAGGCCGGTATTCGATGCCTCAAGCAAGACAGACGGCACTTCACTGAACGATAACTTACTGACAGGTCCAGATTTTGTTTCTTCATTATTGGGAGTTCTTATACGGTTTAGGAAAAAAAAATCGGGTTCATGGGAGACATCCGCGAAATGTTTTTTCAGATAAAAATACAAAATGAAGATCAAGTGGCATAACGATTCTTGTGGAGAGGAACAGAACGACATCTTGATCCAGACACATATACGATGACTACGCTTATATTTGGAGCTACCTCTTCACCCTGCTCTGCACAATACGTTATGAACAAGAATGCTGCAGAATTCAGAAAAAATTACCCCGCATCCGTCAGGGCCATCGAACGAAATCATTATGTGGACGATTACTTGGATAGTGAAGACACTGTTGAAGAAGGCATACAAAGAATAAAAGAGGTGACAAAAATACACAAAAAAGGAGGCTTTGAAATTAGAGGATGGGTCAGTAACGATGCAAGAATTTTGGAAGGGATATCTAACGAGAAAACAGCCAACAAAGCCGTAAATTTGACGAGCGACCCTACAGAAAGAGCGCTAGGATTAAAGTGGAACCTAAACTCGGATACTATTGGATGGAAAACATCCTTACACTCAGCTCCTGGTTCATTATTACCACGAAATGGCCGGTCATGCATCTCCCGAAATTGTAGTCAACGAGATGAGGCAGAAATATTGGATCTTACAATTACGCCCAACCGTTCGATCAGTGTCAAATAAGTGTCAGTGGTGCCGAGTACAAAAAAACAAGCCTCAAATTCCTAGGATGGGAGAACTGCCTAATGAAAGAGTAAAACATCATCACCGACCGTTTACCTTCTGTGGAATGGATTACTTTGGTCCAATTGCAGTCACAGTGGGAAGAAGACAGCAGAAAAGGTGGGGAGTGCTCGTAACATGCTTAACTACAAGAGCAGTTCATTTAGAGATCGCTTCGTCATTATCAGCTGATTCAACAATAATGGCGTTAAGGCGAATGATGGCGCGAAGAGGCAATCCGACGGAAGTCTTCTCAGACAACGGGACAAACATGGTGGGAGCTAATACCGAACTAAAAAGAGCCATTAGCGAAATTGACCGAGCTGAACTCGAACAAGAACTAACCAACCGTGGTATAAAATGGCGTTTTATTCCCCCTGGAACACCACACATGGGTGGCAGTTGGGAGAGGTTAGTAAGAAGCGTTAAAGTAGCACTAAATGCAGTGCTTACATCAAGAGCGCCAAAAGAGGAGGTATTAGCTACTCTTATTGCAGAAGCCGAACACGTTGTAAACAGCCGCCCTCTCACTCATTTATCTATGGATCATCAGGATAAGGAAAGCCTAACACCCAACCATTTTCTCCTAGGATCTTCGTCAGGAGTTACTGTACCAGAAAAATTCACCGATCATGATTTATGTTCACGCAAGACATGGCGAAAAGCGCAAAGACTTGCTGACATGTTCTGGGCGAGGTGGATTAAGGAATACCTGCCAAACTTGGTGGCAAGGAAATGTTGGTCACAGGAGGTAAGAAAGTTAGCAGTTGGTGACGTGGTAATGATTGCTGACTCGGGTTTTCCAAGAAATACCTGGCCCAAGGGATTAGTAATTAAAGTAAATCCCGCAAAGGATGGCAGAATACGCTCGGCGGAAGTAAGTACGAAAGGGCGCATACTGAAACGCTCAGCAGCCAACCTAATTGTAATAGTGCCAGCTAATAGTACGAATGAATCAGATCTTCGTACTGTGGGGGAGGATGTTGACGAGTGAGAGCACATAATTTTATTTGCTCAATTTATTTGTTCATGTTCAATGTTATTTTTCTGTGTTTCAGTTTAATGTTAATTATTTGTATTCTCGATTTGTTCCATTAGTAAGTTCCTTTAGTTTGACCTTCACATTTTCACGTTCGATTGTTATATTGTGACCCGTTGAAAGAGGGAGGGGCCTTTGAGCTCTAAGCATTGTATAGAGCGGCGCCTTCCTGCCGGGAGGGATCGGTGAGGCCGCCAAGCCCCCTCCACTTTCCTTGCCCTTCAGTCTGTACCTTTCGATAAAAGGATAAGTTGTGTGCTGCTTCAGCTGAGTGATAAAGATAGGGGTGACGACAGAAAGTGTCATAAGGAAAACCCCAGGATAACCACAGTACAGTCGTAGTATTATAGCATTTTCCAGCGATGTAAATGAGCTGACGACAGCTATTGTCCTTGGAAGATCCTCATACAATTCACATGTAATGTGGTGAGTAAGAAATAAATAAAAATTCAATTAAGAAGTTCATATATTGTGTCTTTTCTCTTTTAATCCTTGCCCCCGAAATTGATCGGCCATTGCGGTCGTCAACAGGGTTTTTGAGGTAGCTGATTACGAATCTAAGGTCAGATTTAAAAAATTAAAAATTACGGATCCAATATGGCGGATGAATTTTAAAAAAATTGTTTGATTTTAATAAAACTTGGTATCTAGAGGTTTTCGTGGTCGCTGATTACAAATCTAAGGTCAGATTTTCAAAACTCAAAATGGCAATATAAGAATATTTTATAAATTTAACAATTCTTTAATTGTTTAAACAAATAATTGTTATGTACTAACTTTTTACAAAAAATATCTAGAAACGTGCAACTTTCTTTTAACTTTGCAATTAACTAAGCTGTGTAATATTACATGAAGATTTTTCATAAATTTAACGATTCTTTAATTGTTTAAACAAATAATGTTGTTGTTTACTAACTTATTACAAAAAACATCTAGAAGCATGCAATTTTTTTAAATTTTGCAATTAACTAAGCTGAATAATATACCTCCAATTTTGCAATTAACAAACATGAATCTTACAATAATACTGATCTTGTTAACTTTAAAAATTTGGAAAAAGCATGTTTCTAAGTCTTTTGTGCAAGGAGTTAATCAACATCTATAATTATTTGTTTAAATATGTGTTAAATTGTTATATTCATAAAACATCATTATGTAGTACTACTCAACTTAGGAAGTCTAAAAAATGCACATTGTTTCATATAACAGAGACGTAGTTTATGAAGGACTCGTAAAATTCCAATATATCTATAACAAATCTAAAAAATTTCTAAAACTGGCGGCCATATTGGCTCTGATCTTCTGTATTTTTAAAATCTAATCTTAGCTTCGTAATTAGTGACCTCAAAAAACCCTAGACACCAAGTTTTATTAAATTTTTTTAATAAAATCAAATAATTTTTTAAAAACTCATCCGCCATATTGGATCCGCCATTTTGAATTTTTTAAATTTGACCTCAGATTCGTAATCAGCGACCTCAAAAACCCCTAGATACCAATTTTCATTACAATCAAACAATTTTTTAAAAATTCATCCGGCATTTTGGATCCGCCATTTTGAATTTTTTAAATCTGACCTCAGATTCGTAATCAGCGACCCCAAAAACCCCTAGGTACCAAATTGTAGAAAAATCCAACAGTGTGAAAAATTTGTGCATTTGGAAACAATTTTATGGGTGAAAATAGGTACGCAGGAAGGTTAAAGATTCCACAGATTAGCCTGGAAAGAATCCAAGTAGACAAAACTGGTGTACTAGGACCCAGAAGAAGTAGTGATTCAAGTGTGGACAGCTGCATTAACGTTTTCAGCAACTTTTCTGCTGATGCTATCGCTATTGATAATCAGGACAGGGACACTTGTATTAAGCTGCGAGAGGAGGAGACAACTTGCATTAAAAAGATTAAAGAAGAAGTACACAAGATGCTGGAGTTCTGCAAGGTACAGACGAACGTCAATATGACGATCAAAAAGGGTCTAAAGAACCTGACAGAAATTGTACAGGAGGTTAGAAAGAATCATGAAGCCGCGAAGGAGCAGGATGCACGCTTCTACCACGGTATGTATGTTTTGCGAATTGTCACTTTTGCGAATCACCATTTTTACGAATTGCCATTTTTGCGAATTGTCATTTTTGCGAATCGACATTTTTACGAATTGTCAATTTTCCGAAAAGTTATTTTTGCGAATCGACATTTTTACGAATTGTAATTTTTTCGAAAAGTCATTTTTGCGAATTGTCATTTTTGAGAAATGTCATTTTTGCGAATTGTCACTTTTGCGAATCACCATTTTTACGAATTGCCATTTTTGCGAAAAATCATATTTGCGAATTGTCATTTTTGAGAAATGTCATTTTTGCGAATTGTCACTTTTGCGAATCGCCATTTTTACGAATTGCCATTTTTACGAATTGTCATTTTTGCGAATAGTCATTTTTGCGAAAAGTTATTTTTACAAATTGTCATTTTTGCGAATCGCTATTTTTACGAATTGTCAATTTTCCGAAAAGTCATTTTTGCGAACCGACATATTTACGAATTGTAAAATTTCCGAAACGTCATTTTTGCGAATTGTCATTTTTGCGAAAAATACAATAGAAAACTTGTAGGTCTATAAATTCACTTTTGTATTTTTCGCAAAAATGACTTTTCGGAAAATTGACAATTCGTAAAAATGGCGATTAGCAAAAATGACTTTTCGGAAAATTGACAATTCGTAAAAATAGCTTTTCGCAAAAATGACAATTCGTAAAAATGACTTTTCGCAAAAATGACTATTCGCAAAAATGGCAATTCGTAAAAATGGCTATTCGTAAAAATGGCAATTCGCAAAAGTGACATTTCGCAAAATTGGCTTCTCGCAAAAATGACCATTCGCAAAAATTGCAATTCGTAAAAATGACTTTTCGCAAAAATGACATTTCACAAAAATATCTTTTCGTAAAAATGACAATTCGCAAAAATGAGTTTTCGAAAAATTGACAAATCGTAAAAATGGCGATTCGCAAAAATGACAATTCGTAAAAATGGCTATTCGTAAAAATGGCTATTCGCAAAAATGACAATTCGCAAAAGTGACATTTCGCAAAATTGGCTTCTCGCAAAAATGACTATTCGCAAAAGTGCAGTTCGGTAAAATGACATTTTGGAAAAATGACATTTGGGGAATAATCATGCGTCCCATCAAAAGTTGCGTATTAACTGATAGTATTTATATTCTAAATAGCTGATAAATCGGTTTAATGGTTTTCAAATAAAAGTCAAATGGCTTTTTTGCACCATGGCTATTTCACCCTGTTCTACTCTAATTTAATCCCAACCAATACATCTTTGATGTTATAATATAATATAAGTAAAAATATAATAAAATTTATAATAAACTGATGGAAAATATTTGTAGCGTTTTTACTTTGTAATTTACATATTATGAACATAATTAGTTTTGTAATACCTATATATTAATATTATTTCAATATTAAATATAAGAAAAACTCTAATAAAAATATAATATACACTACCGGCCAAAATTTAGAGACCATACTCAATTTGAGGTGAATGAAAAACATTTTAAAACGTATTATGAATGGAAACTAAAATTTTTTTCTTTTTATGTTTTAAAAGATGATAAAATTTTGGATACAACAAGATCTTTCAGAAGTCATTTGGACAATATTTTATTTAGATATTTTTAAAAAATCGTAATTTTCAATGTTTTGCAAAAATTTTAATAACTTCTAAAATAATGAACGCTTTTTAATGAGTTTAGGCTTATTTTATAGGTGATTTTCTTCAGAATGAGAATTATTTATAGGCATTAACGTGTAATTTTTTTCTCAGAAAATGCAAGTCGTCAAACTTGGATTAAAAAAATTAAAAAACTTTTTAACAATCTTATTAAAAGAAAAATAATTTTTAAAATATAAACATATGTTTTTATTAAATTAAATTTCACACCAAAAAAAATTGGTATTTTGTTGCAATACTTGGAAGAAAAGTTAAAAAAGTTCATTCTTTGAAAATAAATCAGAAAAAGTTCGAGTTGATTTAATTTGATTTAACAAGATAATTTCACAAAGTTATTTGCAGTATGAAAATCAATCTCCACTAATAGGCGACACATACGAAGAGAGAGCAATAAATTTCCGTTTGTATAAGTATTACGTTTTAATTTTGTGATTCGAGAGTTAACTGTAATTTCGTGATTCGTGTTGTAATATTGCGAGTCTACACGCAAGCGGTAACCCGATATGTCGGCAGTGTGTGGTGACTCGCTTTTAATTCATTTAATTAGGTAATTATAATGTTTATTTAATTAATATAACTAGGACGGCCAGGTAAAGGTGTTTGGGTAATGCGCCGCTATTACTACTGGCGTGTTGAATTTAATGACATCCATTAACAAACGTTTACATTAACGTTAATGATCATGCGCGAGTTCGTTTCGCGAGATTTCCAATTACGAGAGTTGCAAATAAATAAAAATAAATAAAGAAGGAAAGTAGAAAAAAGGAGACGTTTCATCCGCTCCATTAAACTGAAGTCGAAAAGGCCATGATGCTTTGCGGGATCGGTCGTTTTAAAAACTTGTGGAATGTGTTAGTTACCGTTCCTTTCAAGTTGTCTTTAGATTTTTCATTTTTGTTTCTTTCCTCTTTCTTTGTCACTTTGATCACGATCTATTTCATGGTCTCTCGATCATTTACAGCGTGATATAGTCTGAAACACGGAATCTTGTTTTTATTCCCTCGTCACAAGTGTAATTCACTCTGTTAAAAAGGATTGATCTTCTACGTTATGGTCTTAAACTTCTCGTTTTTTTCTTTTATTCAAGTCTGATGCGTGTAAAAATCGAGTATTCGTATTAAAAGTACGCTATTGAATTTTTTCTCCTAATGAGACCCGATATTCTTTGACAAAAAAATAATTACTGCGCGTTTTTCTTTTACAGAAGTAAA